AAGTCTTGAAGGTTGGGTTAGGAATGCCAAAACCCTCTTGTCGCGAATATTTCAGAAGTGCGATATAACAGCTGAAGCAGTGAAATAGGCATTGGTCGATCTTACCAGGAGGCGGTCGTAGTTTGAGGACTTTCCGTGACGTTACAAACATTGTGCAGACTGCTTACATAATCTGTCGGACCGACACGTGTACTTTTATCCTTTTCACTATCAGTCAAGTTTTTGCGTTTTAGTTTTTAGATCTGGTTATCTTCTCTGTCAAGTTCTACTATGGCTATGGAAAATACGGAAGTACAAGCTATTGTCTCACTTGCTGCCCAGGCAGTCTTTCTCTCCCTGAATCAGTCTGGTCTTACCTTCGCGTTCACCGGCAATGTTGCCCAGACAATGTACGGGGTAGCACAAAATTCTACGACGGAGGTTCGTGCCTTACTTTATGCAGCACATATCTTCTCATCATGACTCAGAAAATAGAACTCTCCTTATTCACACCTGTCGCTTCAATCCCTGAGCTCAAGCAATCACTCGCGCGAATATACCCTACTTGGTTTAGATATGCCCTGACTTCCAGACGCTTGTGGTATTATAATACCACTCTGGTGGCACAGACGGGCTTTCGAAGCGATATTGAGGTTGTCATCGTTGTATCTTCGGGTTCCATATCCCATCTCGAAACCATAAATGGCTTGCCACTCATACCATATTCTTTCATCCTGCTCCGTGAACTCATGTTCTGGGATAACACTTCAATAGAACATTCTAAATCTAGGAGTGCGCGAGAGACAAATATCCTCCGTATGCTCCAGACATTCAGACGACGCCCCGATTTTCTTCATAATTCTGGATTCGATGAGCCAATGCATGCGGCATCTGTAGAGAGGGTCGCGCGTTTCTTTGACGTACATCCGAGCTTCAGGAAAGAGTGGCAGCGGATGGGACTCATGATTCATCGCCCACGCGAGAACACATTGGACAGCGAGGCATCTGACTTCGCCCCCCTCTCGCATGATAAACCCCTTTCTGAGCATCCTAATTCTCTGCTATCAGCGATACAAAGTATGGTCATCACAATGGGTCCATCTCAAGACATATCGCCGTCTAGCGAAGCACCAGCCGAACCTTCTGCACCCGTGGCAACAAGGAAGAAAGAAAAAAAGACGAAGCCACCACGGATGCAAATACGCCGTCTCGCTGCTCGGAAAACCGTCGAGCTTCTCAGATCTCACGGATATCCCTGCGCTCTCTTTGGTAGTATGGCCTGCAAGTTGTACGGCAACAAACGCATCCCTAACGTTCGTCTTGTATATACCGTCTTTCGGATGCTTGACTTCATTTACAGGATATCGACGTCCTTGTCCTGCCACCTCCAGATAGTACCATCAGTGGTCTTCCTCCGACCCAAGAGTCATTGAAGGAACTTCTCGTCACTTCGGCACCGACGTTTTTCGTTCTCCGCCCCGCTCGTGACCCTGAGGCGACGTACAAAGTCCTCTATTTCCTTCCAACACCTAATTCAAAGCCGACACGCAATCAAGCGACCAAAGTTGATATCCTCCTTCCCGGAGTGATGTCACTACCGGCGCTTTCACCATCTGGAGTTTGGTGGCG